ACACCAAAATCAAATGTGAAATGTTTTTCAAAGCTATAAAAAAAAACATGAACACGATAAATTATTATAATTTGCTAAGTATCTATCATTTTGACGATAGTGGTCCTGACAGAAATTATTATTTTTTTTTTTAGGAGATTAAATTCTACACCGCAAAAAATGGATGCTGGCGATCGAAGGCAAAGTCTTCTTTCCTGTGATTGACCTACCAGATATGAATTTACTCACCCTCATGTCGTTCCAAACCTGTATGCACTTCTTTTGTCTGTTTAACACAAAATAAGATGTTTTGAAGAATGCTGGTGACTAAACAGTTTCGGTTCCCATTGGCTTTCATTGTATTTTTTGTCCATATAATGGAAGTCCACAGGAACCGAAACACCAACACGGGTCAACAACATTCTACAAAATATCTTCTTTTGTGTTCCACAGAAGAAGGAAGTGCATACAGGTTTGGAACGACATGAGGGTGAATAAAGGATGACAGAATTTTCATTTTTCAGTGAACTATCCCTTTTTAAGGGAGTGTTCACTCAAAAATGCAAATTCTCTCATCACTTACTCACCCTCATGCCATCCCTGATGTATATGGCTTTCATTATTCTGTGGAACACTGAGATTAAAAAAAATAAAAATTATAATTCATCTCTGTAAGTCCATGTAATGCAAGTGGATAGATAGGTCCCTCAAAGTTGACACTTTAAAAACCACACAAAGAAAGCACAACACTAATCTATGTGACCCCAGTGGATGAATCTATGTCTTCTGAAGCAAAACTATAAATATGTGTGAGAAAAATACTAATATTTTAAACATTTCAAATTATAAACCATTGCTTCCGGCCAACTGTCAAACATGGGTTCATGAGTTCAAGCTTGACGTAAATATCAGCACATTGTGAAGCCTGACAAGCTTGTTGTGAATCTCGGCTGAGAAGTGATGAGAACGCACACAGGACCGTCACTTCTTTTCAGTTTCACAACGTGCTTAAATCATGTCAAATTAACATAAGTAAACATTTTATAAACGTATTAAATTTAATAAACAGATTACAGTGCAAAAGAGTTATAAAGAACAATAGGTAACACTTTACAATAAAGACTCATTAGTTAACCTTATAGTAGACCGGTAAATAGTTTGGGGAGATAGACCAGTTGAGAGGGGCAGTGTTTGAAATTAACCAGTTGATGGAAAAGTATTCTTAAAATTGATTCTAAAAATCTAAATTTAAATATCAGCACATTGTGAAGCCTGACAAGCTTGTTGTGAATCTCGGCTGAGAAGTGATGAGAACGCACACAGGACCGTCACTTCTTTTCAGTTTCACAACGTGCTTAAATCATGTCAAATTAACATAAGTAAACATTTTATAAACGTATTAAATTTAATAAACAGATTACAGTGCAAAAGAGTTATAAAGAACAATAGGTAACACTTTACAATAAAGACTCATTAGTTAACCTTATAGTAGACCGGTAAATAGTTTGGAGAGATAGACCAGTTGAGAGGGGCAGTGTTTGAAATTAACCAGTTGATGGAAAAGTATTCTTAAAATTGATTCTAAAAATCTAAATTTGTAATAGAGTTATTCACAGTAATTTTGAAGTGCCCACTATAACAATATCAAGCATGTTCGTTATTGTGATATAACGTATTACCCAATATCGGTATGTCTATTTTCCATATATTTACGAAATAGTTTTAGTTTCCTCTCCTTAAGATATTTTTCGAAGTTTTCATATCTTAATACAGTTAAAGGAATAGTTCACTCAAAACTAAAACTTCTGTCGTCATTTACTCACCCTCATGTTGTTACACACACGTAAGACTTTCGTTCATCTTTGGAAAATAAAGCTAAAGCTTTTATTCACATACAAACATTAATCATCCAAATACGAGTACATCAAATCAAAGTAAACAGAATCTTAAACATGCTTGAGAACCAATTAGGTGTCTTAAACCACTCAAATCATATGGATTATTTTAACAATGTCTTTATGCACTTTTTGAAGCTAAAAGACTGGTTGCCTGGATAGACAAAAATTAAGACAGAATATTAATTTTCATTTGTGTTCTAATAATGAATCAGTTTTATGGGATTTTAACAACATAAGATTTTCATTTTGGCTGAATTAATGCTTTAAAAAGTCTTAACAAAGAAAAGTAAATGGTCTAATGAATTATTTCTTTTATGTGAAGGTTCATTGCGAGGATCAATCCTGTCAACAGCACGTGCTCTGCAAAATTCCAGATCAGCAAAAGAAGTGGGAAGATAGTGCAAAGGAGAAACTCTGGCCTGAACCCTCATGTGTCCTCCTTTATTAAGGAGTTTGTGTATTTCAGCTGGCAGCTTTGAAAAAAAAATAGTCCATGCTTCTTGTGTGTAACAAAAGTTTGAGTTCTTTTTGAAGATTCACTATCGTCACTATTCACTATCATCATAATATGTTGTGCTTAGGATACATTTTAAGAATTTTCTAACTAGAATAGTTAGAATAGTATGTAATATATGTAATAGTTTATAACAATGTTTTGTTTGAGTCTTAACTGAATCTGTGAACATATTAAAATGTTATTGCAAGGATTACAATTGAACAATTAAAAATTAAGTTATACAGTTGTCATTGCTTATTTTCAGTTAAATTATATACATATTTTTTTTCTTGTATTTCAATATGTTACTGGAGAAAAGACCATAAAATTACCGTATATTTTACAGTAAAAACTAAAAGTACAGTACACATACTGTAAATACATTTACAGCAAGTTAAATGGTACTGTAAATATGAATACAGTATTGTTACTGTAAGTTTAATTTACAGTAAGTTACTGGCGAACTGCTGTATACTGTCGTGCACTTGGGTTGAGAACATCAACGTTGGCAGAGGTAATACTAGAAGAGTTCTTTCGGAAAGCAATCTGATATGCTAGATAAGAGACACACATAAACATTTAAATCAGAGGATTCTGAATTTAATCACCTTGTAACTGGTTTTATATGCACTGTTCTGATTGGGATTCGAACTAGTGTAAAACCGGCATGAGGGGTAGACACATTAACAAGGATGCTAAAGACTGCAGCCTCTAGTACCTAAAGACCCAAGCTACAGTACCTAGCCACATTTGATTGTGTGCCTCTTGAGGCCAGGGAAGTTAGATCTACCTGCCCAGTGATGTCCACTAGCTGGACTCTGTAACACCTTCCTAAAACTCACTCCCATCCGGGTCACGGCACCAATATAACTTGTCCTACTTACCACATTCTGGATGGGATTTGAATTGGCACCATATGACCATGCTAACAAGGATGCTAAAGACCACAGTCCCTTCCGTCAATCCCTAGTGTGTCTCATGAGTGCCAAGGTAGTGAGGTTACCTGCACAACTATCTCTACAATCTGGCCTTACACCTATCCGGGTCACGGCACCAATGAATCTGGTCCTACTCGGACCATTCAAAGCAAGATTTGAACCAGGGACAACTGGCATAGAAAGTGAGCATGCTAACAAAGACGTTAAAAAGTAAGTGTAATACAGTACAGTGGCTAGTAATAGTCTAGTTGATGTTCTGGATCACTACTAGTTACTCTTGTTGCAGGGCAAGTCTTGTCACAAGTCTTTGATCATCCATTTAATGTAACACATTCATTGAAGGCTGGTTAATTGCACTAAATTGTAGATATTCTACATAACAGTCATGCTCCAATGATATAGTCCTACTTGATGGGTGGTCTGCACAGTGTGTCATGGATTTTATCATCATATGATAACATTTTTATGATGTTTATGATCATATAGTACAGTATGTCAAGTAGTAAAGAGACTATAAAAATAATTTACCAAGGATAATGCCATTTGGCTGGGCAGGGGGTTGCCAGATCAGTCTCACTGAGGAAGTCCTGACTTCAGGGAAAAAGATCCCGACTGGAGGCCTAGGTACTGTTTAAAAAATGTCAATGTAACTAGCACACCATAAGCAAGATTAATAACTTATGGTGGTTGTTAATTGTGGTTTAGACTCTCACCGTCATCAAGTGTGCGCTCAAAGATGGGCAGAGAACTAGGCATGCCATCTCCTATACGGGTGAAGGCTAGAACCTGGATCTCATAAAGCACATACTTCCCAAGACCAGTGAGCTGGATACTATAAGTGGTATTTCCCTCTACCGTCCAGAAACGCAGGGCTGACTCTGCATCCTTCTCTTTGTATACCACCTGAGAGGAAAAATAGATGCATCTCTTCACTACTACAATGGACTCAAGAACAGTAAATCTGGTAAGAAGCCTGTTGTCAATGTACCTTATAGCCCAGAATTAGTCCATTGCGGTCAGTCTCTGGTACTTCACCCCAGCGGACCAGGACGCTGCTGGAGGTGGTAGCAAAAGCTGAGACATTTGCAGGGCCACTTGAGGGGACTAACAAATGGAGAAAACAAGTAATCAAGCAATTAACAACCATATGAGCGATCATACTTTCAAACAGGAACAGCGTGCATTTTGTCATTGATTGTACATGTCATATGTTTACAAGATAAAGCATATGCCAATGCAGTCTGGTTACAATTCAGTATGTGATGGTAAAAACGTGTTACCGTTAACAGTGTGTAATGTATTATTAATTATTATTCTCAGCATACATTTAAAACTTGTGCTTTTTTTAATTAATAATTTATGTTAGAATAGATGTTTTATGTGATATTAGAGAAGTATGTGTTATCTTACCTTTTCTGTCCATTTGCTCTTGCATTTGTGTTAGACGTCTTGTTAGTGGAGCTCATTTTCTTGTCCGGGTGTGCAGGACTTATGACACGGTTACTCTGGCTAATGACCGATTGTTTTGTTTGAAATGCATTGTTGCGCAAATCAGTATATATGGTAATAGAGTCTTGATTGTGTTGTAATTGTGCTGAGGTCCCTTTAAAGTCTGTCTCATTCATCAGTCTCCCAGTACATCTGAGAAAAATCACAAACACTTTTAACCTGCAGTACAGGAATCTGTAAACAAGAGAATATACACTACTGTTCAAATGCTATGGGTACAAATGCAAAGGTACATTGCATTCTGTTTTATGCAGCACTTGTTCATTCAGTGATTCTTCTGTTTTGTGAGCCACAGGAAGCTGAGGATTAGAGTCACCTGTTTTCAGTCCAGAAAGTGAATGGCTGTGATACAGATTTGAGTAACTTTGCATGCAAAGACATTGTCTCTCTCCCTCTCTCTCTCTCACACACACACCTCAAATTTTGGACTCTCCATGTTCATGCTGCTTCCTTTTGGTGAATATCTGGTAGTCGCTGAAAGACAGATAGCTCTCCTTCATTGTCTGACTGTAGAGTGAAATGTGAACTTCAGCTGTGTGTTTATTTTAGTTAGTCCACCAGTATTGCAAAGCTTGTGAGATTTAAGATCATAACTGACTTGCTCAAAATAAGCATTACAACTATAAACACTGTTAATATAACGATTAAAAAAGACTTCTGTGAAGGAGTATCGTCAGAGAACAGCAGTTTGAACTTACTGATGACAAGTCAGAGTCAAGGGATGGCATCTTGGAAATAATGTCGTCTAGATGCAAATTCTTCTGCATTTCTGAATGTATTTGGCAGGTGCGTATTTTCCCTCTCAATATACTGTAGTAAACAGCAGCTGCATGTTGACTCTAAATGCGGTTTGACGTTCAGACGCCAACGACGAGCAAAACTGTAGTTGTCATGGCGACCGCACGAGCTGCAGACACTGCTTTTGTTGACACGGTGCTTGTTTGTATCGTTTCTGTCACGTAGATGTTTTGGCGCGAAACTTGCTAATCGAGTTCTTGCTGTTGATAATATTATTGTTATTATTTAAAACAAACAAATATCTTTTTATTTTTTAAATAGGAAAATCCATCATACGATTTAGTGAAATAAACAATTGTTTGCGTGAAAATTACATACGGTACATATACACACACACACACACACACACACACTGTTCCTCATGATTGTTGTGACCGATCTCTATACTGCCCCTTTTGATAAACCTTTGATAAAGTATACAAAGACGAAGGAAACGCTGTCTGCCATGAGCGAAATATGAGATATGATGTGTGACAAAAATAAATAAATATAATTTGTGATATGTGCAATCAAGCTGTGATTTTGTGATTTGCTATGTTGGGTATTTAGGATAGTTGCTATGGCATAGCAAAATAAAAAAAGTAGGGCCTAATGTGGTGGAAAGACACAGGAGTGAACCTTTAGAAGAAGAAAAAAGTTATTATTCAGAACTGCAACATTCTAAAATAATTCAACTGGAAACACTGTAGTAGGTTATTTGGGTTACAAAGGGGTAATTTGGGGGGACTTAAAGGGGGTACAATGCTGTTTCATGCATTCAGAGTTGTTTACAGTGTTAAAGAGTTGGATTCTCATGCTAAGCATTGACAAAGTTTCAAAAAACAATTTGGACGTATGACGGAGTATTTCTGTGCCAAAAAAATCGTACTTCCGGGAGATTTTTTCCATCGTGGCTCTTCATGACGTAGACGAGGGTGGAACTCCTTACATGGGCATTTCTCCCGGAAGAGCGCGCCCGCATCAACCAGTGTGAGAGCGAGATCATGCCTATCAACAGCTTCATCCGGCGGCAGCGCTGCACGGGACTTGCTCGCGAAAAATGTCTCCAATCCAAAGAAGTGTGTTTTTGGTTGTAAGGGAAAGATAACTTTGTTCAGCTTCCTAAAGAACCCAGCGTTATGTAAACAGTGGATACAGTTTGTTTTTCTGGGGCAGCAATGGAGTTTCACAAGTGTGTTTGTTGACGGACGTTTCATAAACAAGGCCCAGTTCGACGCTGGATTTGCACATGGTTTGATACTGAAAGATGGAGCGGTCCCAGCTATAAAAGATCCCGGTCATGATTCAGAACTGCAGACGGTAAGTGAAACGGCATCAAATGTCTGTTTTGTTGGCATTCGGCGCCCAAGTGCTCGTCACTCTTTAGCTCCGCCCACGGCGTGCCTCCAGGAGCTCGGCTTTTTCCGGAGAGAATCGTAAAGCTGTATCTTTCTTTTATAAATATGATCAAACTAAATACTTTTTGGAGATATGAATGATGCAGTACTACTCTATAGGTACTCAAGATTAACATGAGATTGGTTGAAACTGTGTGTGTTATGCCCCCTTTAAGTAAAGTTACACTGCAATTTGGAATGACTAATTTATATTTAAATAAGTAATTGATCATTTTACATCATTGCCGTTCTGCAGAAGTGGTCTACAAATACGAAATTGACTACTGATTGTACCCTGAAGATGTTGCTCAGCAGGTCTTTGGACTTAGAGCAAGGATCGATATATGAATGATGCAGTACTACTCTATAGGTACTCAAGATTAACATGAGATTGGTTGAAACTGTGTGTGTTATGCCCCCTTTAAGTAAAGTTACACTGCAATTTGGAATGACTAATTTATATTTAAATAAGTAATTGATCATTTTAGATCATTGCCGTTCTGCAGAAGTGGTCTACAAATACGAAATTGACTACTGATTGTAATGCCTCTTGTAGCCGGTTGTTCTCCAAGTTCAACACCTCTAGATGACCCAGCCCTTCAAAAACTCTCACTCCCAAGGCTCGAATCTGGTTGTGGCAAAGACAGAGTTCCTCAAGATACTGCAGGTCACGAAAAGTCCCGGGTCTTAGGCTACCAATTGAGTTATTTGACAGGCGAAGCACATGTAGACTGTGCAGACCGAGGAAAGTTTCATCGTGAAGTACAGATAGACGATTTCTGCTGAGGTCCAACCATCTCAAAGATTTCATGCCTACAAATGCCCTAGGTGCCACGGTCACTATCTGGTTTTGGGTCAGATAAAGCTTCTGCAGCTTTGGTAGTTTCAGAAACACATTTGCCTTGATAACTTTCAGATAGTTTCCTGTTAGGTCCAATTCTTTGAGCTCAGACAGACCCTGAAATAGCTGTGGTTGGAGATATGCCAGGCGATTCCCAGCGAGAACCAACTCTCGTAATCCGTGTAGGTCCTGGAACCCCATCTCAGGCAGGACAGACAGTGAATTCCATCCGAGGTTCAACAACCACATGTGGCTGAGTCCTGCGAACAACTTGTCATCTATTCGAGACAGCTGGTTATTGTTGAGACTGAGAGATGCAAGGTTGGGTGTGCCCTGAAAGACTATGCCAGGTAATGAACGGATATTGTTCCTCTCAAGGTGCAGGTGAGCAAGGGAATTCAGACCTCTAAAGACATGGCCATCGAGGGATACCAGCAAGCTGCTCTGTAGGTTCAGGAACTCCAGATTGGACAGCTTTTCGAAAGCAGCCGCTGGTAAGGTAGTAAACAGGTTTCCATCCAGCCACAAGGAGCGTGTGGATAGAGGGATGTCGGAGGGAACCTGGGTGAAGTTACGTGTGCTGCAGTAGACGTTGAGCTCTAAACTGTAGTCATCTTGGATACAGGAGCATCCCTTTGAGCAAGGCTCACTTTTTTGGCCATTGGGTTCCTCTGAGGGCTTTGAATCTGCTGAGAGCCTCGGCTGCTCTGAAGGTCTGGTTTCCTCTTTGTTGGGGTCTGCCAGCACTGCTGATGTCCCCAGTGTGTACAACAATAGCAGTACAAAGTGGTTCATTCCAACTAAGAGACAATGATCAAAATATCAACATTAAACACTTACAAAGCACTACCTATTTATATACTTTTCTTAACAGCTGTCAGATTTGTGACATTCAGATTATCATGTCGGAATTATCAATTCGGAATTCCATAAGTATGCTCTGAACATCTCTGGAAAAACAGGTACAGATTTTAAAAACGATCGATTTGATTCTTTTCAAATGAGAAATTTTGGATTTGACTCTACCGTTTTATTGTGGCAGCAGTCCAGCAGGCGTTCACTAGAAGAGTGGCATGTGTGTAACAGATCTGAACCACCTCTGCCCCTATATATCACCTAGGAAAAGACACACAGTGTTCTGTGCAGAATTAACCTCTTCATTTCTGCTGTTTTCATTTTCAGTTTGCTGCTGTTTGCAGTTTTTACATTTGAACATCAAATGAATTCTAGCAAAAGATTGTTATAATTACTATATATTTTTTTACCTTTAATAAATGTTTATTGAGAGACATTATATGAATATGTATGAAAATATATGTATTTGTAGAAATAGTATCTTAGTGGAGATGTTAAACATTTTTTTGTACTAATTGAACTCTATTTGACATATTTTGTTTGAAATTAGAACTCTAAGTTGTGTTACTGATTGTCAATGCATTTTCATGGAATGTTCTAATACTCCCACACATTCTCCTTTGACTTTCTCTGAATAGTGTTCCAAAGTTCATGTAAATCTGCCGAGCCAACAGTGACATTTAACAGATGGTACTTACCCCAGTTGTGGTTATCTGTTGGAAGACATCCAATTCTAAAAAGTTATTGAGTTAAACAAGCGCTAAAGAACAAGGCCTGAGTGACAAAATCATATGGTCTGTTTTTTTTTGTTTTTTTTACTTTACACTGAAATGTAAGTTACGAAGAGAAGGATATGAATAACACTGATTAAAAAGCATTTTTTTAAAGAACACGTGTGTCAATAACTATGCAGTGGCATTCAAAGAATGTTAGGAAGTGGCAACTATTGTAAAGGCAAACAGAGATAGGACCCTGCTCTGGCAAACACTGCAGTCCTCTACTCTCATACAGAAATCAATGCAGACATCTCATTCACATACAGTAATTTTTAAATGCAGAGGTTCTTTTCTGTCACAGGGTTAATGACCACTAGTAGAACTTGTTGACCCAGAGACATGCTCAACTTGATACAATCAAGCAGAGACCAGGACTAGCTGTTACAAGGGCTCACAAACGGTGAATGATCATTCAATGAATCTCTTTTTCCTGGGCAATAAGTGTGGAAATGTTCAACGGAGTTTCTGCAGTCAAGATTTTGGATATCTGTCAGAAATTTAATAAACTGAATAAACTCGGCCTGAGAAATATTCACAGAAGCAACACATGTGACCAAATATGTGACCCTGGACCACAAAACCAGTCATAAGTGTCAATTTTTCGAAATTGAGATTTATACACCATCTGAAAGCTGAATAAATAAGCTTTCCATTGATGTATGGTTTGTTAGGATAGTACAATATTTGGCCGAGATACAACTATTTGAAAATCTGGAATCTGAGGGTGCAAAAAAACAAATAAAAAAACAGAAAATAGCCTTTAAAGTTGTCCAAATTAAGTTCTTAGCAATGCATATTACTAATCAAAAATTAAGTTTTGATATATTTATGGTAGGAAATTTACTAAATATCTTCATGGAACATGATCTTTACTTAATATCCTAATGATTTTTGGCATAAAAGAAAAATTTATAATTTTCACCCATACAATGTTTTTTTGGCTATTGCTAAAAATATACCCCAGCGACTTAAGACTGGTTTTGTGGTCCAGGGTCACATATATGTTATAGGCTTAATGTTACAGCAGTGAGAAAAAATAACCATTAGTCTACAGCAGATGACTTTCTGAGTAGCTGCATAAACAAGGTGGAAGCAAAGTTGTGTATTTTAAGACACATTACCATAAAATCACCAGTAGAGGGAAGTACAGTCTTTTGCTCACAAGATTTCATCAAGTTAAGTTACCTCCAAGATGGTCCACATATTTTCTGCTGTATTATCTATTATCATAATATGTGTCAATCTTGAATGCCACTGAAAAAGCCATTTTAACACAACACAACACATTTCTTTTTCATTTTTAAAGTGAGATTATCAGTGACTACATTGACTATTAACAATGTTGAAAGCAGGACAACTGATGATTGATGAAGTTCGCCTTGCCTCAAGCCTCAAGTGCCCACCACTTTCCACTGGCTGTTGTATTGCTCTTTCTCTATAAATGTGCATCTGCTGAGGACAAAGTAAGGGACCCGACAGTCAAAACAAGTTCTTCCTTCTCAAAAACAGAAAATGCTTACATATTCATGAAGGATATGCAAAGGAACAGCTCAAGTATGGAAAGCAGTCAGTACTAGAGGGTAATCTGCCACACTGTGGCTTTTAATGATTGCTTATCCCCTGACAAACAGCTCTAATTGGCTCAGTCTCCTACAGTCAATGATATACAAAGGTTTGGAGCTTTGTCATTTGGCTGTGGCTCACCATGAGCACAAGAGGTGTCAGGATGAATGACAGTGCCAGCTGCTCAAACACACTCTCTGCCTGTTCAGTGAAGGTGCCACTCAGCGCTGCTGGCACACTTCACAAACGGCCTCTAACGTCAACCAGCTGAGCTAACTAGTACTGGAAGTTGTAGCGTTTCTTCTGCACTACGAGGGTGAGTAGGTGAACGGGCCTAAAGGTCATGATGTCAGATTGGGTTTGAGGGGAAATGCGTGTGATGCTGACGTGTATGAGATCTCTCTTTGGTCTTCTCTCCATCTGCCGTCAGGGAATCCACGTATCTGCTGAGACTCTCCCCTCTGGATGCTTCTTTTCATTGCCTTTCGAGACAGAATTGAGAAAGTGTGGCATAAATATTGAAGTACAAGGACGCCAGCTTTGAGCAAGAGCAAAATCCTCTTCACAGCCATTGAAATTATACTTTAGAAAATTTACAAGTCTGTAACAGGATTACACAATGTTTAAGAATTTTCTAATTGCTTGATGAAAAGTGCAGAGGAAGATGGAAGTCAGTTTAAAAGAGTCATTAATTTTAGAGGACACCAACTAAACATCATGTACTCAGACCTTGATTTAAAGTACAATGTGAACAGTAAATGCTCCAATTATTTACTCAAATGTAAATACAAATGTACATTTCAGATTTCAAATATATATATGCGTCCCAGTGCATTCATGAGATGTTTCTTGTATAGTTAATGTCTGGCTTAGCCAGTGACTCCTAGAAATAGACTAGGTGACAACCAAGAATAGTTTGGTCGACTACTGGAGAGACAGTTGACGGCACGGAAAGACGGCACCTGGGACAGTATGGGTTAGCAACCCAGCCTGTGTCTTTCGTGAGAGAGAACCCAAACAAGCTACGGAAAGCCCTATAGAGAGATACCCCCAGGAGATCCCGAGAGGGGGGGAGGATGAGATCTCCAATCGGACGGACCAAAGGTTAACAACCCATGCAAACGGACAGACGATGAATGTGACATGCATTTGCGGAAAGCTGTGCAAGAATCATCGGGGCCTAAAAATCCATCAGGCTAGAATGAAATGTTTGGAGCGGGAGAGTGAGGTGCAACGCACAGGTCTTGAACCTGGTGAGACGCAGGAGGAGCCCGGCCAGGAGGCAACCCACAGAGCCCAGTCCCTCCACGCACCAGAGCCTCCAAATCCCAGCAGAGTAGTTCAGCAGCGGATCAAATGGCCCCCAGCCAGCAAACGGAGTGAGTGGCTGCAGTTTGAAAAGGATGTGTCCAACACCACCCAAGCCACAGCCAAAGGAGATGCTGACAGTCGACTCCAAACGATGACTACCATCATCTTCAGCTATGCCTTGGAAAGATTCGGCCGGGTAGAGAAAGGAAAAACCAAGTCTACCTTTTACACCATGAACCGTAGGGCTACAAAGATACATCATCTGCGTCAGGAGCTTCGCACCCTCAAGAAACAGTACAAGAAAGCTACTGATGAGGAGAAGCGACCATTAGCAGAGCTGCAAAATATCCTGCGGAAGAAGCTGATGATCCTACGCAGAGCAGAGTGGCACCGGAGACGGGGGAGAGAAAGAACCAGGAAGCGAGCGGCTTTTATTGCCAATCCCTTCGGTTTTACAAAACAACTGCTTGGGGACAAGCGTAACGGTCGGCTTGAGTGCTCAATAGAGGAAGTGAATCGCTTCCTCCAGGACACAGTGAGCGATTCCCTGAGAGAGCAAGACCTGGAGCCCAACAAAGCTCTCGTCAGCCCCGCCCCTCCAACAACAGAGTTCAACTTGAAGGGGCCAAGTCTGAAGGAGGTTGAGGAGATCATCAAGGCAGCTCGCTCAGCATCTACTCCAGGCCCCAGTGGTGTACCTTATTTGGTTTATAAGCGCTGCCCAGACCTTCTCCGGCACCTGTGGAAGATCTTGAAGGTGATTTGGCGAAGAGGAAGAGTTGCTGACCAGTGGAGGTGTGCTGAGGGAGTGTGGATTCCTAAAGAGGAGAACTCGAAAAACATCAACCAGTTTCGAACCATCTCATTATTGAGTGTTGAAGGGAAGGTGTTTTTTAGCATCGTCTCACGAAGACTGACAGAGTTTCTCCTCAAGAACAACTACATCGACCCCTCAGTGCAGAAGGGGGGGATTCCTGGAGCTCCCGGCTGCCTGGAACATACTGGTGTAGTTACACAACTCATCAGAGAGGCCCATGAGAACAGAGGCGACCTAGTTGTTTTGTGGTTGGACCTGGCGAATGCCTATGGGTCCATACCGCACAAGCTAGTCGAGCTCGCTCTACACCTCCATCATGTTCCCAGTAAGATTAAGGACCTGATCCTAGATTACTACAATAATTTTAGGATGCGGGTCACTTCAGGGTCAGAAACATCAGACTGGCATCGTATTGGGAAAGGAATAATAACAGGCTGTACCATCTCTGTTATTCTTTTTGCTCTTGCCATGAACATG